AGTGAAAGTATCTGCAAAGTATTGTATGGACCGTGTATTGAAACCAGTTATAGAATAGTATTTTGCTAAATTGCACGGTAAAAAATAATTAATGTGATTTTTCATCATGACGGAGCGTCTTAGAAGATGGCAAAGTTGACCGAAGATTATGCAAATGACCTTGAACCTATATTGGAGATAAAAATCACTTCGAATAGTGAAATATCTGTACAATCCCTCGATGTAAGTCAAATGGACTTCTTTGGGTTCAGATACTTGAAAACAAAAAAAAATTCTGTGGAGAACGATTTTTTTGACGGAGTTTTGAAAGAGTTGAAATTAGTTACTCAACTTCTGGGGGCTGTGGGGGAGGCAGTTTTGAAAGTAGAGAGTTGAATTTTTGCACACACCTACCTGAGGATAACATGCTCCTCTGTTCAAAATTTTGACCCGCTACGACAAACCGTTCCGGGGTTATTCAACCTCAAAAACGTTTTCACCAACGTGCCTGACTCTCAGTACGTAATTCTTATCTCGACAATTCGAACCAGAAAACATTAGCTCTTCAAAAAGTTTATTTTATTAAAAAACGAAAACCGGTTTCGAAGTTTGTAAAAATCGGTTTCTCGGAAGATTGTGACACCGGGTTTTCACAAAACCGGTTGTTGGAAAATTGTAAAACTAGGTTTCCGTTAAATTAAACACCGATTTTAACATCTACGAAATCGGGGAAACCAATTTTGGATGCCCTACTTACAAACCCCTCGAGTCTCAATTGCTAATCACGGAGTCCTCTATCTCATTTCTTGAAATCAAACGTTACACGAGATTATGAATTCGTGGACGTAGGTCTGAAATTGTAATGCTATATTTTGTATGACACATATCAACGTTGTCATTAGCTGAAAGTCAATCCCCACAAGAGCAAACTCGGGTTCAAAATTGTTAAATTGTTGACTAGGGACATCCGGCCTCGCAATTGAAGCACGTCTGCCATACATTTTCCCACGCTTAATATGCATTTATCTTGCGCCGTGTGATAGGACAATTATATCCAGTGTATAGGGCATGCCGGTACGGCCCTTCGGGCCGTACGGCCTGGAGCCAGCGCTCCACCTAGAAGCATCGTCGGTACGGGCCTGGTAGCCGGGTCCCATCCATCGATTTTTTAAATAGTAGCCCCCGGCTACTATTTGAGTTTTTACGGTATCCATATTACTCACTTTATTTTTCACCCAAAACTAAAAAATCTTTCCTTGAACTTCATCCGGTCTTATGGTTCTTCAACAAATTCTTTCCTCTCGTGATCCAAATGTGGGCATATGCACTCAAAATAAGGTAGTAATGAATCATTACCATGCGGAATGACTATGTGGCTCTACCACGTCGGTTACGATTTGTCGTAGAAATGGTGATAATAATTTCGGGGAAATTCAAATTCATTACCAAATATTAAGGAAGTGAGAATACTATTATGTATTAAGTTTGAATTTCCCTGAACTTATTATTACCATTCTACGACAAATCGTAACCGACGTGGTAGAGCCACATAGTCATTCCGCATGGTAATGATTCATTACTACCTTATTTTGAGTGTGCATATGCACTAAATGAAACATTTAGAAGATGCATCGTATATTTATTTATCAGCATACCATGAAAAGCAACTGAATATCACGATCAATGAAGGAAATATGTAATGTTTTGGGGAACAGCATGCATAATTGCCGTGCATGAAGTTTGAGATCCATCATAAATATATGAATTTTCAATTCACCAATTTCAGCCTTAATGTCTCGTAAATTGGAGGACTGTATGTTTTTATGTTTGTGTGACTTTTTGTGTAACTCGATGGCGTGGTGTGACCGTAAAACTGTAAATAAGGGCGACGTGGTCACAATTAGTTACTGGGTTGGTAGTGTCGTTTTATTCGTCACACAAAGAGCATTAATTACAAATTTGATGAGTGTTAAGAGAGACGAGGGGAATAATACGTGTTGTTATGTGTAGAGTTGAAGAGACACTGTTCTTTTCACAAAATTTTTAAGAGAATATCACACAAAAGCACGCTACTTTTACAAAAGGGGCCACCCTCTTCTCCTCCTCTCCACCAATCACAAATTAACACCTTGAATTTAATTTAATTAAAAGAGGAGGAGAGGAGAGGTCAAACTTTAGATAAAAATACAAAGAGAGGAGATAAAATTGGACAAAACTCCAATTATCTCGCGACATACTGGAGCCCCGTTCAAATTTCTCTACTGGACTCCTGTCTCAAATCAATACATAAAATCATATTATCATGTCATGCAAATTTTCATTATCACGAAAAGGTCATATATCTGTTTAAAATAATTATTTTGTGTTCTCGACGACACTTAAGACTGTACAATTCTTAAAATTGGTAGGAGAGGATTTGGCCTCCCCACCCCGGATAATACCTGTGTCCAGGCTTATGCAAAGTAATGCAAACCTGGGTCAACACATGCCACTACCATGTATTTATGTCTGCACAAAACTATATGCATAATTATGGATAAATCTTTTATGCCACATTACATAAAGTTTTTCAGCAGAATAGTCCGCCAATTCTCTGCGCGAAATAAGTAATAAATAGCAACATGTTGCAAGGCCGAGTGTACTGTACAAATCCTTTTCGCGTCGATTTCACCGAATTTGATAAGAAAAATTGACAATTGAATTCCGGGTGCAAGGATACATATAACATGACAATTTTTGAAATACGTTCATCTAACCCCCCTTCAAAAATGGGGGAATAAAATTTGGAAAAATGAGAAAGTCAATGTACACCCCGTACAGTAAAAATTAGACATCAACTTGTATTTGACATTCTAATTCCCCCTTGAATAGGAACATTTTCATGCACCGAGAGTTTCAAAATTTGAAAATTGGCGGTTTTTTTACCTACATACAAATCCTCAAAAAAGTCATGGTTCCCACACTTTGTAGTCTGACAACCTGATGCCAGATTTTTCTCCTTCCAAAGATGAACATTCTAAGCTTTTGTTGTCAGACTGCAAAGTGTGGGAACCATGAGGTTTTTGGGGTCAAAGTTTCTGGGGGAGGGGCTTATTTTTACAAGAGCCGTAACAAACTATTGTCACTAATGAGAAAATAAGACATATTTAAATTTTGGATATCTGAATTACAAATTCGCCCCAAATTTAAAACTTAACCTTTTTGGAATTTATAATCCCGGTGAACAATTTGCAGAGAATGAGAAGTGGGACGACCACCACACGGCACTGTCGCAACGACAGTCAGCGGTGGTGGTGGATACCCACCAGAATCCGAGTCTCACTCTGCTTCTAGATAAATATGGAAAAGAGTTTTAAATTGCTTTTAATTGCTTCAAATCGGGTAACCGGGTTTTACAAAGTTATAAAAACCTTCAAGTATTTGAGAATCTCTTAAATTGCGCAATCTGATCCGGAATATTCCCCGTCTTGGCGACAATATTTCCGACCTTTCAAATCATGGCGGGATTCGTGTTTATCCGATTTCACGAGAAAATCTCGTCCTTTGAGGGGATCCTGCTGGGATTACTTTTTACTAACGTGTTTCTCGTGAATATCGTGACGTTCACGGGATCCGGACAAATTTTTGGGAGGAGCTGTAAATATCTGGAGGACAAGAAGGGAGATATTCGGGGCAAGTTGGAGAGACGATTGGTCGCATCGTGTAGTCCGATCAGGGTCAAATTTGGGAATAATTTTGTCGATAGGTTGACCACGTTGGTAGTGCAGAATTTTTGTTTGATTCAAACCATAAATTTGTTACTCGTGTCATAATTTTATGAGTTAAGTTATTATACATATTTTATAAGCTGAGTGTAATTAGTGTTTATCAACTAATTAATCAATATTACCTAAATATGCATACTTAACCTATTTGACATTACTGATTTTTTAATAAAAGTTCCCTTCGGTACGATGTTAATTTCATAATTGCACCAATTAAAATTTTCAGGCAGTCTCCAAGTTTTGAGTTTTTGACCAAAAACCCGAAAAATCCACTTTTTAACATTGGTCGGTAGAGGGAAAATTCCAAAATGTTTGAAAAAAATACCAAAAAATATACACTCTTATTTACTTTCGAATTTTCCACAAAATACTAAAGAAATATTTTTATTTTTGAGAAATTTCGGTGTCAGGGAAATTTATGCAGTACATACATTTGTGTATAACGTTTTCAAGGGAAAATAAAATATTACACAAATGTGTGTACTTCGTCGTTAAGAGGTTAACAGGATTGGGTAAGGATAGAGGTATAATTGATGGGCATCTATGTACAGACATCGGATATGAATGACCGATAAAACCTCAAAATATGAATGAAAATTGACCTTAAAAGTTCCCAAAATATGACCATAAAAATGACTTAATATTTAACCTTTTTTGTTTAATTTTTTTATATTTTTTTTCTTGTGATACTCAATTTTTAGCCATTTGAGTGCCTAAAACAAGTTCTGGGGTGATTTAATTCATTCCCAGCGAATTAAATCACCTTAGGCGAAATTGAATGTAAATTTTTGCAAGTTTCTCACAACGAACCATTGCGAGAAAACTGAATATTTTGTCATTTTTTGTCGATTTAGTTGCCAGATCTTAGAATTTGACCAAAAATGATAAAATGAACTAAAAAAGTCTGAAATATGATCTGGAATATGAATATGTCCTAAAACCGGAAAATATGACAAATATGTGAAAACATGCTTTGACCTACGTGATCTACTAGTGACCGTAAACATTCTGAGAAAGTTTGGCCACTGTAGGTCAATAAATGGTAAAAGTCATTTTTCATTCATATCCGACGTATGTATGTCTATGTATAAGTTTAATGGAACAAAGCACCAAATTGTACGGTATGAGGCTTTAATAAGCGTTGAGTTCCGGTGGGTTGAGTTTTAATAATAATGGTATTTCTGGGACATAATTTATGGATCTCCCCTTGAGTAAAAGCAATTATTTCAAAATTAATAAGTTACGCCAATTAGAATAGCAATACTTGACAACAATTTACTTTTTGCATTTACTTTTCAAAAGGGAAACATTACATTTTAAAGAGTTTTAAGAGTATTTTAAAGAGATTTTGGTGTATTTTTAAGAGATTCGAGTCCATTTTTAAACGTGCAGACTGAATTTTTTTACTCTGGAATTTCTTTCTTCTTCTCGTTCTGCGCCATGTGCCAAGCGAGTTGTCCTAAAGGTGATCACGACCTGAGGACACTTGGTGTTGGCGATTCGTGCCGGAACCAGATCCGCTTCATCCGATCCCTCCCATTTCATGAGAAATTTCAACTCTCCGCTCGAGTCCGTCGCTCCAATGATCTTATCGGGAGCGAGACCACGATCAAATCCCGTCAACTTGGCAGGAGTTTCCTTCTAGAAAAATGATCCACAATTACTTAAGGTCCCATTGTATGCGGGTTTCGAAAATTGAAATTTGTGTGTCTTTGAAAAAACCTCTTCATTTCTGCGCGTTTCTTTTAAATGAGGATTTCATTTCAGCTAAAAATCGATATTTTTTTAAATTATCACACTTAGGAGGTTAGAATTTTGGATTTTTATGTCAAAATAGAAATAAAATAGATGAAAAATACTGTAGTGCGCAAGACGGAGGTACATATTTCCACCAAAATTCTAACCTGCTAATTTTGCAAAAGGTAAAAATTATCGATTTTTAGATACAATAAAATCTTCTTTTTTGTCACGAAGGAGAGGGGACCACGTTCGTAACCTTCGTAATGCAAAAAGGGTCAGGAACCAACGATATCTTGGCCAGGGTTCGCTACCCCGGGTTTTTGTGGTTTTTGTGGGTTTTTGGGGTATCAAATCTCCGGAAAAACCCTAATGCTTAATGGGGTTTTTGCTGGTTTTTGTGGGTTTTTCCGGGGTTTTTGTAGGATTTTGAGGCAGATTGGAACGAAATCCCTTAAACTACAACGTAGATCAATGCTAATTAACTTTTCTGCTTCATTTTTAAATTTCGAGAATTTTCATTTGAGACTTGAATTCCAAGTATCATTGCATATTTCCAGGTTTACATGTCAAACATGAATTTTCGATGTAACAGTCCAAATCAATGATAACGGTTAAAATTCCATGTTAAAATTGTATATTAAATTCGTTTTTCTTTAATATATAATTTTAGGAATTCTGGTTCAACCTGCCCCAAAATCCACAAACACCCACAAAAACCCCAAAAACCCCGGAAAAACCCACGGGGTTGGGTTTTTCTACAAAAACCCCGGGGTTTTCCGAACCCTGATCTTGGCCCTGTTAAGCAGGTGAATGTAAAAAAATTGTTTTATGAAGTTTATAAATGTTCCAAGGTTTCAAAAAACACGCAATTTAAATTGAAAATAATGATCTTATCTACTCTTTCTTAACTTATTTAAGTATTTATTCTTACCCGTCCAAGTTTTCCCTTTTCTGCTGCCTTATCTCCGCCACCCTGTTTATTTTCGTCATTCTCATCGTTCTGGGAACGTTTCTTCCTGTCCGATCGTCTCCTGGAGGACGTTGTCGCCATCCCCTGCTCGTCAGACTTGCCACGATCCATTTTTTTACCTCTTTCCACACCTGTTTAATAATAAAACAAATAATTAATTACAACTAAATAAATGTACAATTAATTACAAATCATCAATTATTAATCCAATTATCAAATCAAAATTATCTCGCTTGCCATTATACTTTTGACTTCAAAATCAACCCGTATTAATTAGTTACTCCAGTAATTAAATATACCTTTAATCCAACTTTAAACTTACCGAGTAATAAATAATTAACAACAAATAGTAAACAATCAAAATCACCCCATTTCTACTTACATTTTGAATTACAACAATTAAAAATACTTTTAATCAGACTTTAAACTTACCGAGTAATTAACAACGAATAGTAAACTGCTGAAACTTCAATTGGCGACTCGGACAGAAAGATTAACTGTAAATTAAATTTAACCGAGAAGGACAATTCCGTTTTCTCCACTGTGGACTGGCGGGTGAGGAGAAGACGAATGGCAGACCACCACCACCACCGACTCGGAAATTGAGACGAACACTGAACACGTTGCCACGCTCACACGTGTCTATGGCCAGATTTGAACAAAGAAAAGTACATTTATGCTCTCAGTTTTTGAAATTTCCTTCATAAGGTTCCACAGTGGTAAGGGTTGCCGTGGAAAGCGGGTCGGGCACCCGTTACCCGCATATCCGCACGATTCTTGCTGGTGCGGGCACTAGCGGAACTATAAATTTGGGGCCGGTAGGCACAGGTTCGCTGGGGGCCCCTGTCCCTGACCGATTTGACGAGACTTATGAAAATAGGAAAATTTTGTAGTTTTTTGGCAAACATAAATTTGATTCAGTGCAAGGTAATTGTGTGCTGTTTGGTTAAACGACAAGGGTTTAATTAAAATATCGTTTCAAAAATATCACGATTTCAACAATTGAATGTAGAACTGGCAGATTACACGCACAATGGGAAGATTCAAGCGGTCTCGCTCCAATTTTGACGAAACCTTGCTAATTAGGAAAGCCTGGGTAAATAATTAAACACGTGTTTCAGGATTTTTCATAATGCTCAATTTACGGAATCCATGAGCGAGAATTTCCGTTTTTATCCCGAATTTTTTCCTGCGAGGGACAAAAATACAGATTCTCGCTTACAGAGTCCATCATAAATAAGTGGAAATCAATCGTTTTTTCCGGTTTTAAATTTGCTCGCACACTTAAACTAACGTTCTTTAGCTTTTTCATCAAGACGCTGTTTTATGAATTTTTCATACATTTTCAGTCAAAATTAGGATTTCTCATAACGTTATAAATTTTGCAGTTTTGATGCTATTTTAAACCCGAAAGAAAATAAAAATGATTCCATAAAACTTCCATGATGCCTCCAAGAACTCAAAATTACTTCCATTAAAGTAGGGATGGTAATCCGTATCCTAAATTAACCGATCCGTAGGATAGGATCGGATTTGCTCGCTTTAGGATCGGATCGGCTCCCGGTTCTACTCGAAATCCGATGCGATCCGATCGTAGGATATCCGCGGATGATATGTGTGAGACACCTTGTGTCTAACTATGGAAATACTTTACCAGCTGCTTTTCTTTATTTATTGGAACGGTTTTTGGTGAGTTCATCACATGGCGTACATTACCCGAATGAGCCGAATTATCCTATTATTTTACACCAGTTATTTTTATTTTGGCGTTCAAATTATTCAATTTAGTATGATTTCAACGCCAAAATAAAAATAACTGGTGTAGAATAATAACATAATTCGGCTCGTTCGGGTAATGTACGCCATGTGATGAACTCACCAAATGTGAAACGAGTTTACATCGGATGATCCGAGGATCCTGTGTGATCCTAGGATCTCATCGGTTAGGATCGGATCGGATTGTCTGATCCTCGGATCCTCTATCCGATCCGTGTGAAAATCCGATCCTATCCGAGTTTTAACGATCCTAGGATAGGATCAGTTACGGATTACCATCACTACATAAAAGTGTAGAAATACTTTTCTAAAAACTTTTAGAGTAACAAACAATAAATTTTGAAAAATTGAAATTTCTTGTAAGTTCAAATTTAGCATGAATTAATGTAATTCTGTGCAAAAATGTTCTTCCATTTTTGAAATCGGATAAAAATTAGGAAATTTACAACATTTTGAAAATTCATTATTTTTGATGAAAATTTTTTTCAAAAATTCCGCCATGTGAAAACATGGTGAAAATGCGTGCCTTGAGGAAAATGGTAAAATACGGCATATTTCCTTGTGTGATCAATTTGAAATTTGTCTGGTCAAAATCGAAAAAGGCACATCATGTTAGGTGACACGGAAAAACACCATGCATTCAATTCAATTCAACCTTTATTCGAGTGTTAATGGATATCAGTTTACAAAAAAAAACTGGTTTGAAAACAATGACACATTTTAAGTTTAAGCGAAATTATGATGGATTACATAAACGACAATGTGTATTTTTCTCGCGAGAGAGAAAGATATCACGGCAAACATGGAAATTCTCACGCATAGATTCTGTCATAATTTCGTTTAAACTGAAAACTATGAAAAATCATTAAACACGTCTTTAATTATTTATCCAAGGTTATTCAATTATTATTGTTTCTTCAAAATCGGAGCGAGGCCCCTGGCGTCATTGCATTGAGTTTCAGTTTTTGCAATTGCTGTACGACTAATTGAGTTAAAAGATTTGTGTCATTTCCTCGTCTTATCGGGTTCATTTAGCTATATTTAAAATATTTAAAACTATTGATAAAGTTCGGAGATGCGCGCAAAGCCTATAGAAAAATAATTAGCCAATGTCATAGTGGTGACTAGTGTGACTACCATCCCAGCATTTTTAAACTGAAAATTATAAAATAAAGTTTGGCAGAATTAGAACTAGTTCAGATTTTTTAATGATCTTCTGCAACGCTTGCGCCTAGCTTCTCCACTGCTCGACATGTAAACAATTTTAAAAAATTCGGGGCAGCTACGGGGCCCCCACGGGTTGGGGGCCCCTAGGCAATGCCTACCCTGCACCGTGCGGGTAGCGAGAACTACCCGCACGGGTAACGGGTAGTTCAGTTTTTATTTAATTTTCGTCATAACTCAGTTCACAAGGAAAGTTAGCAGCAAGTTAGTCCATTTACCCACAAAAGCGTCAATTTATTATTTTTCCATTTCAAAATGTTCCGTATCTTTTCCTCCACTGGACAAAAACCATGGTTCTCTCCCCTAATAGTTTCCTTTAAACGGGTCATTCAACGGAAAAATAAGTGTCATGTACATAATTAATATTTTTTGGCTTAATTTTTTTATATACATAAATCAGTATAGCTTAAAAAACTATCCAATGTAAGCCAAAAATGTTGGTTTCAAAAATAACGAGTTTGACATCAACGAGAAAATTCTGGCATGCGTTACTTGCATAGATAGCACTATCTCAAAGTACATATCAACCCAAATGAACAAATAATTGATCAAATCATATTTATTCTGAAGTTTGGTTAGTTTTTAACCTAATTCTCATAACGGGTAGCGGGTAACGGGTAGCTGTGCTGCGGGTAGCCGGTCGGGTAACGGGTAGCATTTTCGCTACCCCTTCATAAAAATTACCATATAGTAGAACATTATTTGCATTTATGTATACCACCACTTTTAATAATTTATTATCAATTTACTTCTTCCTCAGCATGGAAGAATATCTGTGAAATTTCGTTGAATCGCAGAAATACATACATAGATATTTGTAAATCCTAGTTTTTCTAAATTATCTTTACATTAGGGTAACTACTATTCAAAGCTCAGTTAGCATAGTTTGATTGATAATAATAAGCGTAATTTATTAAAGATGGCCGGACTTTTTCAGACTATTCAGTTTTTTTTTCAGTTCATTTTTATAGTAACTCTAAATCACACTTTAAAGTAATTAATAGTTGATTATCTGTCGTTCTGCATACACCAGGAAAGAATAAATTATTCCAGACTGTCACAACCTGGCCGAGAGATGTAGATGTTGTGATTGCTTCTTAATCGTTGAATCGATTCCCGACAAATCTGTGATCAATGAAGAACAATAAATATTTAGTCAAAAACAGGTACGCTCTTAGAAACTTTATTGTATTGAAAAAAGTATTGAAAAGTATTGAAAAAGTATTGAAAAGTATTGAAAAAAGCCTAACGGTATTGATACGTGACTCTACCGCCTTGGTATAAAACGGTTATACCATATTGGTATACAACCGGTATTGAAATTATACCTCATGGTAAAAATTTTAATACTAACTGGTATTAAAGTTTTTACCACGTAGTATTAATTCAATACCGGATCAATACCACGCGGTAGAGTCACGTATCAATACCAACGGTTATTGAATTTTTTAAGAGTGTAGTTAATAATACAAAATTATATGAATAATTTAACAAAATATACATACCTTCGAATCATCCACCACGAGTTCGTAAAGAGGGTCCAAATCACACAAATAATCAGCCATTGCTTCATCAATCGGAATGAAGAGATGTAGTTTCCTTAAACCTTAACAGAAAAATAAATACATTTCCGCATATTAGTTCCCAATTTACTAACAATTAATGGAACCTTTTTCAAGCTACACAGGGATCAACTATCGAGTTATCTCAAAAAATCAAGGCAAAAATCATGAGTCACGTGACACTCATCTTTTCGTTGAATGTCCCCTTTGAAGAAAAAATATTGCGGGTCAGAGTTCGTACTCCTCCCTGTTTGGAGGAAAATCCAAGAGAAAAATTTGCTCAAAAATTGAACTTAACCGTCAATATTTTTCTTCAAAGGGGCCATTCAGCAGAAAGATAAGTGTCACGTGACTCCTATTTTTTGGCCTGATTTTTTTGACATAACTCGCTTGTCGATTCAGGTGTAGCTTGAAAAAAAGGTTCCATTGTAAGAAAGTACTTAATAAATTTTGCACAATAAATAAATAAATTTCTTACGATGCAGCTTCAACAGGCCGGATTGCCGATTAGAAAATCCTCTTTCCCTCTTTCGTTCAGTCACACCTCTCAATTGATACAAAACCTTTTCCTCCGAATAAGTCGGGTCGTCCTTGGGCGATGAAATGATCAACGTCTCGATGCTCCCTCCCCATCCCGACATGAAACTAAGCTGCCCTGGAGGAGGATTAACCAGCTCTAATCTCTTCAGCTGACTCGACACCAAATTATCCAAGTACACCTCCGGAATTTCCACCGCCATAATGGACGTCTCATGAAACTGCAGCTTCAGCCTTTCCACCGGATGGAGAACGCTGCCCCAGTAAAATTCTTCATTTCCAAAGCGCATGTGCAGCGAGAGCGAGATCAGCTCCGGGAATTGTCCTTTTTCTATTTTTCTTATCGGAATCCGGTATGAATCCACCTCCAGAAATTTCAACTTACTCATCCCCGGTAACCGCAATATTCCCGAACTTCCAGAACAGAACTTTTCCCCCATTTTAACCCGTCTAAAAATCTGCACTCCAATCAACATTCCTTCCCCGGAACGAAGCAATTTCGCAATTTCTTGATACTCCGTAACCCACTTGCCTAAAAGGAATGTCACACTTCTAATATTTGTGTTCCCTTGCGACTCCATTGCTTGCGAAATTGTCCCCAAAAGAACATTATTGTTCGTGTCGATCTTCAAAATCAGAGAAATTTTCGGAATTCCTGCAGCCGCTTCGAGAACTCTGCGCAGTTCGACCGTTTCCACAAGCTTATCTTTCGGTTCGGGTAATTTAACCCGAAGTTTTTCCAGATCCTCCGCATGCTCCAAGATACTTAACGTTAAGTCCGAACTGAACGGGCAGAAACCATTCGAGGCGAACGAAATTGACAAGATTTTGAGGGAAGCGAGGTCAAAATCGTTTTCGAATTGTAAATTCGTATAATCAAAAGAGCTGAAGGAGGGGAACATAATTTCTAGCTCTTCAATATCCATGAGTTCCTGAATCACACCGGTAAGTTTCCAGACGAGGCGTTGACATCCTTCGGAAGGGGTTTCGATGCTCAAGTATTTTATGTATTCTTCATACCGCGACGTGAAGGAGATCAGCATATGGCGTGGGATCGGTTGAAGGATTAGTTTGAATCGGGTAAATGGGAAATCAGAGCTGCGGTCGAGGTCTTCTTTAAAGGCGAAAATCTTCATTTCCGAGCTGATAATGATGGGGGTGTGGATGTTTCGAAATATTTGGGTGGCAGGGCGTGATATTAATTTTGAGACGGAGCGAAGAGATTTTAAGTCGGGTTCTATGTATCAAATGAACGAATTATATAAATTGGGGTTGATTTAGTAGTAAAATTTTAGGAATTTAAACTTAGATAATAGATTTGTGTACCTTTCAAGAATTCAAAAATCTTTGCAAGGACCTACGAAAAAGTTAAAAGTGAAATGAAATATAATGTAGATTAGTTTTCCATTCCATTTTCAAAATTTAGATAATTTTATTTTAGATAATATGAAAACAAATTCCTACCGGCTCTGGAATATCGTCGATTTTGACTTTCCTCTTCTTTTTTTGACCTGTTGCATGGCTTCTATCATCAAAATTGTTGTTGTCAACGCCAAAAAGATCGTCCACCAAACCCGCCTCGGTTCCTGGGAATAAAAACGTACGTTAATTCTAATTAAAATACTGTATAATTACACTTTATTTAAGTTTAATTCCTTAAATATTTACCATTGTCGCGAAGAGAAATATTGCGCAAGCGTTGCTTCAACTTTTTCGTGGTCATGGTGGAATGAAAATTGAGCTTGTTGAATCGCAAATAAATAATGTTTGTTAAGAGTGCCTGCAACATTGAAAAACAAATTTGTTATTAATTAAACACTAAAATATTTCACATTACTTATTTAGTAATGAAACACGCAAAAGTTTTAACAAGTCAAGTTTTTTGAATACTGAAAAACTGATTACGACATTTAAAAAGGAATGAAAATCTCGATAATTAAATAATAATTCTTACACTTAATTATGAAGTCCCCAAACAAGCTCCACCAACTTGTACACTAAATTAAGGTTTCAGAACTATTTAAGAATTATTAAAATGAGAAATTAGTAAATATATTTCTTACCTTTAGTTAATTAACGAAAGCGAAACAAAATAAATATTCCAGCTGGAAAGAGAAGAGAGTGATTGAACGTGCGAATGAGCAAGACTGAAAAACTGCCGGCGTACAAATGTGCAGATCTTGCGTCTCAATTTTACATGAGGTGCAAGTCAGCTGTAGTCGCAATACAAATCGGGCGCAGTCGCACCCCCAAAATTTCAAATCACTCCAAAAGCTTAAATTTCACAAAAATTTCAAATTTCCCGAAATCTCAAATTTCCCCAAATCTCATATTTCCCCAAAATCTCAAATTTCCCACAATCTCGTATATCCCCAAATCTCAAATTTGCTTAAAATCTCCAAAAACCTCCAAAATCTCAAATATTCTCATAATCTCAAATTTCCCACAATCTCGTATTTCCCCAAATCTAAAATTTCCCCCAAAATCTCAAATCACCCCAAAATTCTCAAATTATTATTATTCTATAACCCATATCACCCACAACAACCATAATTTAATTTTTAAAAAAGCTTGCTTAGGTGAGGCGCTGCTAAAAGTGAAAAACAAGCCCTATGAGCATATCTTTTAATCTCTCGTCCCCTCATTATTGGAACACGAGTTGATGGCTTTGCTTTGCATCACCACGAGGCCAATCATTCTCAGAGTTGGGAACTAATCCGGATTAGTTAATGTGTTTAAATGGTCAATCCCAATCCCTAATCCCTCTATCTTTTAACATTGGATAATCCGGATTAGTTCCCAACTCTGTCACTCTGACCGTATAGCATACAACGCCGTTTATTACAAAAAAGAAACGAGAACAAAAGTGTCATTTTCTGCTAAAAATATTGGCTCAATTATTTGTAATTAAAATTATATCAATATACATTAGTGATTACATAAGCGATCATTGTTTTGATAAGATTAAATGGAGTATGCAAAAACAATTGTGGAGAACGAGTATATGATTATGTACTAGTCCAACAATTCAATATGTTTATTTCTAATAATTTAATTCACCTTTTAATCAGCACTTCAGGAAGCTAGTAAAATTTCAAGAGGGTAAACAATTTTCCGTAGGTTTTAGCGGAAGGTAGACAACTGTCGCTTGAGTCGATTTTCACCATTTTTTTCCGATGAGAAAAATCGGTTGGGTTTTTAAGAGTGATCCATAATTTTATTATTTTAAATTATGGATCGTTCAGTCAGTGTTTTTGAATTTTATCAAACTCTTCGCCAATTCTTCGTTTTAGAAATGTGTTCATCTTGGGAAGAATTTGGAATAAATCATTATGTAATTTTGCTTGATTTTTTTTTACCCAAAACCATAAAATGATTCTTTATCTGCATTCCGCTCGAAAACCTAGCCCTTTCTCGAACTTGCGGCGCCCGAAAATTTTGCACATCTGCCCAGGTCCACACTAACTAAATAAATTTAAGGTGATCCGTCAAACAACAAATAATCTGGGCTGAACATGGGTTGCGTTCCCATTCTTCATAAATAAATGCATGATAACGATTGATCAAACATAAATATAATTAATTCTTATCACATTGACAAGGTAAATTCAAACCCTGACCTAATCACACACGATTGATTCGGCCAAATTCCCATTTATTAATATCACTTTCCTCATCAGCTTCGCATTCATCACAACTAATTCAACCTTGCCACTGTTCACAGAGATCAAATTCAGCTTTTAAAAAATGCCAGATTTCGATGGGAGTGACCAACCTCCGGGCTAAGCTTTCACGTACAGTGACTCCTTCAAAATTGGTCCGTCGGGTGGAAGCGGCATGCTTGGACGCGCCCATCAGTTTAAAGTCACTTACCCAGGTAATAGTTCTTGGAATATTGTTAAATTAATTTACTAAATGCATTGTGTACATAAATTATAGTGAGTTTTAAATGCGTTGGTCTTACATACACAGTAGCAACCTAACAGTGGCAACATTAAATTTGCAGCATTTAGCTGTTGTGAGGATGTCGTGAAGATCACGCCAATCCCCACCCCGGGGAGTACAGATGCACATCCGGTTCCATTTCCTGACACCCGTCCGATCCGGGGGAGGGTTTGCGTGTTGCTGTTTGCCTTTCTTACCCCAAAGGACAAGGATCACGATTGGAAATAAGGAACAATCCGGATTCGTGGAACAACTAAGTTTCCATTATCACAAGTCTGGCTGCTGTAAAGATGTACAAACATACACATTACTTTACTAAGTAGCTTAGCAACTTTATGCGAAAATTCTGTCTGTCCGTCTGTCTAACGTTGCCTAACCTCCGACATAAGTATGCCTTGGAAGCAAAATCCATATCTGAAATTGGCCTCCTCGTGTTTCTTATAAGCATTTATTCCTAATCAGCCTTAAAACATGAGGCTTTTGATCGTTATATTTTTCCTCAAAAAGGACCAAAAGCTCTTATTTTTTGGGGTTGTTTAAGACAAAAGGTTGAAGAAAAACACGAGGGGGTCAATTTCAGATATGGCTTCTGCTTGTATACTGAGGGGCTGTTGGGAGAAACCCTTAATCCATATCTTCACCTTAAATGCTGGAAATCTTCAAAAATATGACAATTTCTTTAGAAAAAGGGAAAACGGATCGAATTCACCAGCCCGAGCTCGGCTGCTCATGTCGGGTGGCTTATTGCTTCTTACGATGTCGCTAATGCGGCCAAAATTGGCCTCACTTCGGATTCCGAACAATCCCCGAGGTTTACCGCGGAGGGGATAACCTCGCAAGATAAGTCGATTACGGTAATTCGTTTAAACCTTGATTACAAAACCCTGGTTAGGGGACGTCCTTTAATTTTTTAATGAAAAAATTCGTAAATGTTTTTTGAGCAACCCCACCCTCCCTTTTCCTTTGGCTTTGTGCTAATTTTATAAATTTGAAAAAAATAAGTGGGACGAATTAAATCAACACACTTTACATATTTAGATTAAAAATCTTCTTCATCCCTCCCTTAACTCTTATGACTTTATACTGATTTTCGCAAATTTTTAAAAACAATCGGGACGAATTAAATCAACACCTTGTGCATTCACAGATTCGAAATCGTGCCAAGGAAGTTGTCGCCACAGGAAAGGTAACTGTCTACACGGTTTCCCGAGGGTCTCTGAACTTTGAAGAAATCGAGATCACGTTACCCCGCTGGGGAGACCCGTCCGTGTCAGAGGTCGAAAGGGAGATAATCTTCGCCGTACTCGTCCTCTGGGTAAAATTATTTTTCCATAGTTTACAAAATATCGCAAATAAAACAAAGCAATTCGCGACAATTAAATCATTCCAGAACTGTCGAAATTAAAATGTCGAAGTCGTCGAAATTGTCAAAATTTTCGAAATGTTGAAATTGTTTAACGTTACTTAAGGTTGAATAAAATTGAGGATCCCACAGCAACCTATTTTACTCAACCTTAAGTAAATTTTACCCATGGCCCAACTTAATTTTGTGGGCCCGTGGGCAAATTACCAAGAATTGCTTAAAAAGCTTCCCATGCTGATCTCTTTTTATCAGACTTTAGCAATCGAAATATTTTATTTACATACGTTACAAAATTCGAAACGAAATAGATTTTTTTTCTTTATCGAGGAAAATATCAAGCTTTTTTTAATACTTTTTTTCAAATAACTTTATGACCCTTAGGTATTTTATACCCGAATATTTTTAAACTTTTAAAAGAGACTTATTAAACTTGAAAAACAGTAGAAAAGCTTAAAATCAATTAAACACGTTCATTAGGAATTTATTGAACTAATAAAATAACGACGTTATGTATTTACTGCGTTTGCAACACTTGGGGCCCTCGAATTCGCGGAGCCCCTAGCTCTTGCCTGACTTATTTACGCCACTGAATTTTACATAATATTGTTTACAGTGTATATTTCACTACAGTTTGGTCAATTGAATTTAAGACTTTTTTGAATTTTGAAATTTTGCCCAGTATAGCAACTAATTAAGATTAAAAATACCAAAAACCCGTTCGTATATTTTTGCAATAATTAATTCCAAAGTTTACAAATTGCACACAATGAATTATTTGATAACAAATAATAATCTTTTTTTTATTGCCATACAATTTTTGATCGACCCTTTTTTGGTTTTCAACATAAATATTTTTTCAAATTTACCACAACACGTTGTGGTAAATTTGAAAATTTTCAAACTGTTGCAAGTCTCTAATTTAAATGACCAAACTATAATTTAATATATAAATACTTTCAAATTTATTGAGTGTTATTAATTTTATTTAGGCAATCAACGCACAAGATATAGTTCGAAAGGGGAGTTTGATCAAGACCTTGCTTGTAGGCACGCCAAGGGCACCAATACAATATCGTTCCAGCTAGCCGTCACCATTCTAATACTGCTATTTCTTCTTCTTACATAACCCATGGTGACAATCCGGTTCATCTGAACTAAAATTAATTAATTCATAATTATTCATTCATAATTCATTTACAATTATTCATTCATAATTATTCATTCATAATTCATTACATTTGCCTGATCGAGATGGCAATGAGTCATTGAAAGCTTGCAATTTTCAAATAAAATTACCTGTTATTCCTGAAAACCGTAGAAATGTCTCGTCTAAATTCATTCATTCTTTACATTAACCTGTTCAAAAATTTAGTTTTCATTCAGAAGTCAGTCATCCCGATTTATATACGTATGGCTGAAAATTTTCGTTCACACTCAGTCATTTCCTTTCAAATTCATTTCATTTCACTTCATCTGGTTTCATTTCTGGCTTCGTCCCATGTACAGGGGTGGGACAGAAGAAGGAGCCACTTGAATTTTAGGGGTGGCGTGTGATGCACAGTCGCGGCATTTTCAAAATTTGCATATGTCATACCCAGATAGTTAACGAAAATTTAGCACTATTCAGATTTTCCCTACGGTTAAAAATGCCCCTGCAGCACCCCCCAGAGTGCGAGGCACGCATTAAAGTGTTTTCCAAAGACATACTGAGCCAGAGAGCCGTTGTTAGAAAATTTGCTGCAAATGGATTTATCGTCGATCGAAAGTACGTTTCTAATGTACTTAAAAACGTTGGAATCAAGCGGAGGGAAAAAGCGGTTAGAGCTCCACCCCCACGGAAAGGATACCCAAGATCCGCTTGAACCAAAAAGTTTATCCGGAAAATCAATTTTTCGCCAAAACGGTAAATCCACCAACTAAAAGTTGCATGGCGAAAATGTTAAACGTTAGTAGGAGAACATTTCTAGAGTCATTCACAATGACCTACAGCAAGTGACTCGTAGGAAATCCCGAGATCATGCTCTCATCCCAACTTATTTCTCACAAAATATCAGCCTACACGAAGGATTTTAAAAAAAGTTTGGGTATAACAATTATTCCTACTATAGAAACTCTCGTTAGTTCCTCTGATATCAATCCGATGTTTTTTTTGGATTCGAGTACTTAAAACAGAGCCTTCTTGAAAGGAAAACGCGTGCGTTTTGATGCACTTTGGAAAAGTGTTCAGGACGAGTGGTGCAGAATCACTCTGAAAATTGTGTCAAAGGTCATGACTGGTTGGAAAAAGCGACTGAGGCTCGTTAGATAAACTAAAGGGCTTCACACTGAACCAATTACCAAACTTCACAAACGAATAATAAGGCCGGAATAAATTTAGGCAAAGTGGCTCCTTCTTCTGTCCCACCCCTCTGTACTTATTAAACATATGGTGACAAATGAAAGGAGTGAGAAATCTTTTCATTCACAGTTATTCATCTGAAATGGCTGAGTCTTTCACTCATTTTCATTCAAATGGAAGGAAATGCATTTTTATTCACTACCATTCGCTATCGTAATCAGTCAGATGAATGAGAGTTAAGAGGTTGGCTTACAATTGAATATTAAAAACTTGCAAGTTCAAAAATTTAAAAACATCAATACTAGAAAATTCATCACATTTGAATATAAATCGGCGGCTTAATTTTGGCGCTGGCGCGCCTTTTCGCGTCGGCCGTGGCGCGTCAAACCCCATCGGCGTCGCGGCAGCCGACTTCTGCCGATTCTAGTAAACGATTTTGGCCAGTCCAAAACTCGATTTTGTTTTTTTTATTTTAAGTAAATTTTGGAAACAAATTAGTACTCTTATTACCATATTTTGTAACCAACCTGTATGGGTTAAATACTTTTGAAAGGCTTGCAAAAGTTTTATGTATGTAGCGTGTCATAAAGTTGTTTTTGACAATCGACACAATACACATGGTTAACACTTAAAAACATAATAACAGGTTTATGTATGGAGTTTGCAACTGAACTTTCCCAGAATCCAAGGTAATGACTGAATTTGTATAAAGTTTGAAGCACGTGTATCCGCTTCAAATTATGCCGTGTACACTCTTAGCAATGGGGTTACGATTATCACCAAAACGTAAATGTATGTGACTCTACCACCGTGGTTAAAAGTTTGTCATCGATAGGTTACAATTGTCACCGACTAATTATAAAGTTTCACCATCTTGGAATTAAATTGTCACCAGAGCTAATAAATTTATAACCAGTTGGTGATATAAACAGCGGTAGAGTCACATAAGTCTACTTTTTGGTTATAACCGTAACCTTATTTCTAACAGTGCAGGTGGTTTAGAAAATACATATGTAGGACTGAATTACCACTGAATACATAGTACGACAAATATTTATTATATGCGTACAAGTAATAACGTGATCTTCAACCGTCCAAGATGACGGAACTTATGGCATTACTATCCGAAATTAGCGTCGTTACAGCCGGAAACCATATTCATATTGTTACCGATCAGCAAAATCTAGAAATAAATTTTCCCCCAGAGTTTCAAATCCAATCGCCAAACACGTTCTATAAGATAGCAAACTCAACAGTTTTTAACGATCTCCCCAGCCTCGCAGCGAATCGTTTGAGAGCATCCGCCATTCTAAGCATGATTGTAATACTAGTTTTGTCCCCTCGGTTAGAAGGATCTAAAAATCTAGAATTTCCCCAATCAGAAAAACTTTTGCATGCCGTCAATTCGGCAAGAGACTTGATTCGGATGAAGCTGGATGACGACCCAACATATTTTAAAGGACCCTTCATCATATTTTGGTTAACCAGCCATATTCCTGAATCTGGAAAGAAATTTCCAACCCATATTTTTTACACGAGGAAGATTAAGATTGATACAATCAATATACACATGCCTAACAAAGGTCGTCAGAGGCACACTACAATTAAAACAATTCAAACAACACTGTTTATAGTTGAACTTAAGAAAATACAAGATTGCAATGCATATTCCAGTATTACCTTTGTTTGTCCACATTGCAGCGTTGTCACAGTCCTATACTTCGTCACATTTATTCCTGTTGGCATTATAAAGTTTGGAGTACTGGGTATTTTTTGGCTTGAGGGAAGTATTAGGAGACTCTCGATCGTTAAAAAGTTAATCAAGACGATGAGCATCTTAGCTCCGGTGAAAGCAATTATGATCAGACATTCTTTCAATACGATGCCCTATGTTACGTCGGGTTGTGGAGGTGATGTGTTAAAGAAATTCCCAATAAACACTGACGTGGGCGAGACAGGATTATTCTGTGGGTCTAATATAACCATTATTCACTACCCGTTGTTCTGGAGTCAGGACGAAACCATACTTCCAATGATATATGGTGATACTCACAGTAGTTTCAGGTATGGAAATGTATTCTACACAAAACCTAAAGACGACTTAGTTTCTTGAGAAGAATTCAGTCAATTAATTTTTTGGATTGATAAATATAAACACTTCTGCATGGCTTATAGTAATCTATGTTCTAAATCTGTGAAAAGATAGTACATTACCAAACATATGAACATGTTTTTCGTCAATTCGTACAGTCAAAATTCTATGAATTGACTTTATTTTGCAGACTAAAAAAGGTAGGGTTTAACGTACGCGGTATTAGCTCACGGCTCTTGCATACATGCAGGATCATGGCCTCCGCGTGCGGGTGGTGGGTGGTGAGCGGCACCAGGGCCGGGCCCCGAAGGGCCCGGGCCAGGGTCTGAACAAATTATGAATTTACTGAAACTTTTCCTACACATACATACATAGCTTACGTATTTAAATGATGCGAAAAACTGAATGAAAAAAAAATCGCCAAGTAACTAGTGTTACGTGAAAACTGAAACTCTCGCATCTGTAAATTACTAAACACTTATTATCTGTCTAATACAATGCATGGAAAAAATTACACCCTTTTAACGAATAATTTAGTTTTGTTTCTGAAGTTTTGTGTCAAAATTTTCACGCAGTTTTTCCAAGTTGTAGTGTTGCTTCCTTAAGGAAGCGTTTAAATGTTCAAATGATGCTAAGCCCATCAGTGTGACAATATTACATTCTGAACGTCAACTTTTGCTTCTTGTATACCAATTCTTGTCAATATGCACTGAAGTTTAGGTGCCCAAATGTTAGTCTTTACCTGGTCTATGTTCGGAAAGCTTCTTGTAAAATTTGAACAGCAGTCACTTTGATTTGAACCATGGTTGAAGCCAGTTTTTGAAGAGTTTGAAGAGTCAATGCCAGCATATTTATTATTTTCTGCCAAATCAACAATAGTTTAAAATAATTTCTGACCGTTTCAATTGACTAGAATTTCTTGAGGGATATGTTTTGTTATTCAGGTTTTGTACATATTTATAAAATGAAGAATTAAACAATGAGAGTTTTGTGTGGGGTTCAAAGCAGCAGATGGAACAGGTATTTTGTGATAAGATAAATACGCAATCAGCTCGATTCTACGTAAATACTTATTGTGAGTGTGAAGACACGCTAACTCGTATTTTTGGCGGTTACATAGAGTTTCAGTTGGTTGGAATGAAAGATCATTTTCGATACTAAAGACCATTTAAACCTTCTAAACTAACGACCGTAAGCTAAGTATGGGGTGAGAACTAACTAATCTTATTTAGTATGCATCAATTGAATGACATTAAACTCAAAAAATCATTTTTCCGAAATGATTTATACTTTTGCGAAAATATGTAAGATTCAGTATGTAGAATAGGCATTCAGGTCTACAATAAAAAATTTGTCAAAAACAGTTTATAATAAACTTTGCTTATTGTTAGCCTTTTTAAAGTTCCTCAATACAAATTATGAGAAGCTGGAAGGGGGTTGGGATTTTTTAATTTCACCAGGGCCGGAATTTTGACGCCTACGCACTGGGCAGGATAGGAGGGACAAGTATCAAGAGGACAACAAGAGGACAAGAGGACACCTTCTCAAAACACTCTGTGGATTGGTCTTCTCTTCACTGCTACCGTGCTAGCATTCCTGTTAGCAATATACGTTCGAGAAATATATGCTGAGCAAATGATCTCAGCCTGGACGCTGGTAGTGTCCAGCCTAGTTGGGCAATCCTACAATATCCCTCGTGGAGTAGAGGCAAGACTTGTTCTACGGATTGGATTAGGATCCTGGTTTTTGCTTTCCATCATTTTCACGCAAGGTTTACAAACAATTAATAACTACATTTGAATGGCAGTAAGTTTGCTACCGAATCGTAATAAATTTTTTAC